AACCTGCTAAGCTGTTCGTTGATGCCTGTAACACGATTATGATACGAGGCCAGGCAATCCCAGCACAGCTCAACACCATGTATTTCTTTACTTAAATGAAAAGAGCGATCATTTAACATAAGCAGATGTGTTACATGTGTTTAGTGTAAATGCTTTTTCCATGTTGTCTCCACTCCACCTTTATGTATATTTAAATCTATATATTATAAATTACACACTAAATTTATAATTATAAATAAGTTATAAATCCATAATTTTAATATTTTAAATTAAATCAATGTTAATAAAAATGAAAAAAAACATCTTTTTAATACTGAATTCAGTATTTTTTTAGGTTTAATACAAAAATAAGTGTCTAAATTATATTTTTTTTCTCATTTTGGTGCTTAAACTATTTTTCTATCAATCTAGGTACCTAAAATTGCAAATGTTATTATTTTAAGTGCCTTGGTTGTTACATCTGTTCAAAAAATCTGTTAAATAACACATGTCACATTCAAGTTTTTTTTAAAATTTTATTAAAAAATAAAAGTATTATTTAAAAATATAAAAATCAATTCCCCATGTGCTCAACCCTCTTCCCTCCCCCCACTACAGTAAAACTGTACATTTGCGGCGTTTTTTTACGTATAGCGGCGTTTTTAAGCGCTGCAAAAAACACCTGTGGTGCTATGACAAACGTCGCAAAAAGCGCCGCTGAAAATAGCGTCGCTAAAGTTCGCGGCGTTTGGTAACAAAAAACGCCGCAATAGGTAACGCTATATAGGTGTTGATATTTAGCGGCGTTTTTCCCACAAACGCCGCAATAGGTGTTGAGATTTAGCGGCGTTTTTCCCACAAACGCCGCAATAGGTGTTGAGATTTAGTGGCGTTTTTCCCACAAACATCGCAAAAGATCTGGTATATAGAGGCGTTTTTTAGAACAAACGCCGTAAAAGGTCATATATATAGCGGCGTTTTAAGATACAAACGCCGCTAATTACCTCTCTATAGATAAAAGAAATTGATTTTGCAAATTAAAACTAATTTGTCAAATGTTGTTTTCTACTCTTTTATTACTCAAATTTAACCTGTAGCATTTTCCAATAAACTTGACATCCATAACAACAAACTTAAAATCCATAACAAGAAAAATGAAATCCATAATAATAAATCAAAGTTTACATTAACGTAAAATATAATGTAGTTCAACATTATTAACTATAATAAACAATAATATCTAAGATATTTTGCTTCTAATCTTACACATTCTTCAAAACTCTTCGTCACAATGAGGCGCTTAAATTCAAAGAGATAAATCCAGTTTATATGGGAAAACAATGATGCAGAGCTAGTATCGTCCTGTAATTTCTTGCACAGATATTTTGCTTCATGAGGTCTTACTCCAATTGGCATGCCACTTGAAAAGGCCCCATCCATGGCAATGCAAACCTGATCTCTAGTTTCATATCCAAATAAAACATCAGTTTATATGAAAATCCATTATATCTTACGTTAAAAAAGTTAACAACACATTTCTGCATGGTCAGTCCCAGCAGTCAACAACTCTATGGCATGGGCAACTATCATGATGATAAGCAAAATATAGAGATAGATCTTAATAATTGTGCAGAAACATCCAAGCTTGAATTTCATGATAACTTCTAACAGCTTATCGGACCAAACATATTTTAAATCAATAGCACCCAGAAAAAGGCTCCAAAACTGCATTCCTAACAAACAGAAAGATATAAAGATGGAAATATGACAGCTTACCAAGGACCAAATCCTTTCAAGCATTCTGCTAAAACAACCTAAGAACAGACAAAAGCATAATCTAACTTAAAGATAAGGAAGCAAAAAGAGAATTTAACGGAGATTGTAAATTAATATTTTATCCCCATTTGTCACCTCAGTATTTTCCCCAATAATTTCAATTATAAGCCCCATCAACTTATGTGCAGAGGCCATTGGTTTCAATTGAATGCTTTTCTGTGCCAAACTGTACATGCTTTCTAACCCCTAACAGAAGAAAATAAATAAACGAGATATGTAATACAAGGAAAGTACATACCACTGTGAATGGCCTGATGTATAACAAGTGAGAAATATACAATTCTATCCAATGGCATGTTGCAGAGCAGAGACTATTAGCATTACCCAACATTATTTGTAACATACGGTAACCTACAAAACATTCGAGGAAGAATAAAAAGGGAGTCGGCCGATGCTTTTTAACAGTAAATTTGGTATTTGTTTGCGCAATTGAATTTACCCTAGTTTCAAAAATGTATTGGAGCTTTCGTAGTCGTGTCGATTACCGTTGGAAGTACAAACGTTGGTCACCGACTCCGACGAGTGACCTTCCTCAAAGTTGTTCTCCGAGTCACCGGCAACTTGTCTTCGACCCTCGGATATCTGCAATACCTGCAGTGATGAAAGCTTGTAGCCTATTACCTATACTTATAAATATAATAACTACTGGAAAGCTTAGATTCAAGTACTTAACAGATCAAAATTCAGCTCATAAAACTATGCCATTCAGTACAGTAGTGAATTGCAATCCATTATAGAGAGGACATGGACTTTGGACTCAAGATTTTAGGTTATCAGTGTTTTCAACTTTCAAAGAAAACTAGTTTGGTCTATCAAGAAAAAATTAATTAACAATTGAAAATTTGCACAACTCACTGTGTGCATATTTCACTCTTCACAGATGGATGAAGATCATGTCCAAAAACACCAAAGGTTTGGTGCAAGAAGCTGTTGTGACTAAAAATGGTAATTTCCCTCTCTTCTCGTGTCCACAGCCTGCCACAAATGATAAATGGATATAGTAAAAGAAAAGGTTGGGAGGATATGAAATAAACATCGAACGAAGTAATTTTACTTCGAACTGTAAACTAGCCATTTCTTTCATTCAGATTAATACAGGGTCAAAATATGGGTTTGATATGTATGCTCACTTTTTTCTAAAAAAATCCATATGTTTGGAGGACCATACTCCCATATAGTTAAAGCAGATACAAAGGGACCACTCACCGGTTCAAGAATTTCATTCCCCTGGTTGCAATTTCTTCATTCTTTTCAAACCAAAATGAATAAATTCTAGGTAATCAATATTAGCCAGTCGTAGCCACCTGTGCTGCGCTTCCATGAGTATCTGCTCAATATCTGCACCCAACAAGATCCATTTTTTCAACAAAAATTAACACCCCTTGAGCTTAACAATTTTTCTTCTGCATAATAGGATTCGAATGAAGCTATTTATTCCATCTTTCAAACCAAACCTCACAAAATAAAAAATAAATTAAAGCCCACCTCGTGAACTAAAATATTAGCAAAATGGAGCAAACATAACATCAAATGCAGTAAATTAAAACATGACAAAATATAGCAAGAAAAAAAGAGCAAGATTCAACTACCACTAAAAACCCAAAATGAAAGATAATAGAAGAGCCATTTCCTGCTCCAGTCCTCGAAGATCCTCTATGCTTGCATCGTTCAAACATTCACCCATGTTTTGCCTGCCATCGATCCCATCAAATGTACACAAATAAAATAAAATTAATATTATTTATATACATTAAAACAAAAATTAGAAGAAATATAAGGTTTCAATTCAAGTTTTTCAAAAAAGAAAAAGAAAAGTAGAAATCTAGGGGTTTTGAAAGTGATACGAAGTGGAAGGACTGATGAACTCGTGGATTTTTCCAGAACTGGAAATCACGATGATGGAAACCCTCGCATCACAGAGAACGGTGAGCTCATTAGCTTTCTTGAAGAGACTGTTCGGGTTCTCAAAAGCATGAGGCCATTGAGAGTTAAGTTTAGGGCTAGGGTTTGCTAAATTTAGTTAAATGTGGTATATATATATAGCGTTTGTATAAAAACTACTAAAGAATGTTTATTTAGCAGTGTTTGTACTTAAAATGCCTTACAATATTTAGCGGCGTTTATATAAAAGCGCCGTTAAAGTATGAGTATTTAGCGGCGTTTATATAAAAACACCACTAAAGTATGAGTCTTTAGCAGCATTTGTATATAAATGACACTAAAGTACGAGTCTTTAGCGGCGTTTTTATATAAACGCCACTAAAGTACGAGTCTTTAGCGGCATTTTTATATAAACGCCACTGAAATATGAGTTTTTAGCGGTGTTTGTATAAAAACGCCACTAAATCACGAGTCTATAGCGGCGTTTGCAATAAAAGCGTCACTAAAGTACGACTCTATATCGGCGTTTATACAAAAACGCCACTAAATGACAGTCTTTAACGTCGTTTATATAAAAAATACACTAAAGTACATTCTTTAACGGCATTTTTATAAAAGTGTCGCTATAGTACTAGTTTTTAGCGGCGTTTATTCTAAAAATGCCGCTACAAATGCCGCTATTTAACCATTTTGCTGTAGTGCCCTCGCCCTGCAATTCCCAAATTGTAAAGACCAGTTTTCAATGTTTTAGGGTATCTTTGAGATTTAAGAAAAACTTGGAGAGTTTTTTCAAACAAAAATATATATTTTTTAATTTTTTTTAACGCATGTTATTTAACATACTTTTTTAACTGTCATTATAATCGAAATACTTAAAATAATAACGTTTGTAAAATTAGATAAATTTTTTAATTGATCGTTATAGTCGAAACACTTAAAATAATAATATTTGTAACGTTAGTTATTTGAATTGATAATAAAAATAATTTAAGCATCTTATATTAAACATTTTTCAATATATCTAATTAGTTTTAGTTTTTCAATATTTGGCAATTTATTTTTCTCCTCTATAGTATTTTTCGGTTGTCATAAACATTTATATGATGATTTATAATTTGTTCCAATCAATGAAAGCGTGTCAAATGAAAGCGTGTCAAAATAGCGCTCATAGACATTACATATGTGATATGTGCAGAAAGGGGGAAAAGATCTAATCTCTAATTGAAATACTTGAAAACTGTAGGATAAACAAGAAAATTACTGTGTAAAAAAATCCAACATAATAGAAAAAAGAGGGTTAATACTTAATAATGATTTACACACTTAATAAACTTTTTTAGTGAAAAGACTTCGCAAATTAAAAAAATTATTACCGCTTCCAACGTTTCCGCCGCTGCCGCCACTTCGGTTGGTAGTGTAACCGGAAACTGCGGCACTATTATCGTCCATTCTACAATTCAAATGATGCTTATACCCCATACACATTGGCACGTTTAAATTCAAAACTTTGGCTTTGTTATTATTGTTGCCACAGTTACCAGTTTTACCGCGACGAGTTTTGGTAACTTCCTTTTTACCGCTACCCTTGTCAGCGGTTCGAGCCAAAGCATCGAAGTTCTTAACAGCGGAACCACTACGACGAACCTGCCAAACCGGGCTGCTTCGCCCCAAGTGAACCCCTGCCCTACTGGGACTACTCGGCCATTTTCTAGATTTGGATTCACCGGCTGAGTTGCTGCGAGAACATGGAGCGCTACTTACTTTCCGGGCACCCGCCGCGGAGGCGGTCATTCTGGGTCGGGTCCTACTCGTACATGCGGATCTACTCCTTGAAAAAGGCCAGATATTTATGTTCAACTCAGCCGGACTCCCTCCGCTTTGATTCTGAGTCTTCTTTTCTTTCTTCCTCTCTTTCTCTGAATCCTTGTCTTGTTGGTTTTTGGCTCCTATCTTGCCCTTTTCTTTCTTGAAAATATCTCTCCACCGCTTCGAAACTGATAAGACAGGAGCAGACTCAGATGCTATAAGAGGGCTAGGCTCTGGGTCGGGTACAGATGGTTCTGCTGCGGGTGGATTCTGTTCGGTCTGTGGGTTCTCTTCAGGTTGATTGTTGGGTAGGAGATGGAGAGGACGGAGAACGCCATTAACGAAGAGTTCATCGGCGGAGATAAGATCAGGCGGAGGAAATGAAGGATTCCGGACCATCCAAAACTCGAATTCGGGTGAACTTGAATGGCTGCTTGTACTGCTTCTTCTTCCACTGCTGCATGGTGATAGATTTTTGGATTCTTTGTTTACAGTGGTTTGGCTCTCCATTTTTCTTTGGTAGAAGAAAAAGAAAGTTTGAGAGGAAAAAATTCAGAATTTATTATGTTATTTTAAAAGGAAGGTGAGATTTTGTTTTTTAGTGAATACCAGAAAGAGGGAACAAAAAAGAAAAAAAGAGAAATTTCTTAAACATATCATGAAAGAAATTAGAGTTTGTTTCTAAAAAATAAATATTTTAAAAAAAATTAAAATATTGAAAAAAAACATTTGGTTGTAAAATTAAAAATAAATAAAAATTAAACATAAAAAGATTTTTCTATTATTTTTATTGAAATTATTTTAGAAATTCAAACAATATAAAACATGAAATTTGAGTTTTAATTTAATTTATACAATTCAAATTCTGTTTAAAATAATTTTAGTGTAATGGTATTCTTTGTTATTATAATAAAAATTTTCTAATAAGTATATTTTAATTTTGCTATTTAATAATTGTTTGTTTATTTTTTCCATAAACTTTTAATCAAATATATTTTAATTTTTTAAAAAATTAAATAAAATTATTTTATACAATGAAAATAAAATAAAAAGAAAGTTATGGGCTCTTAGGAAAGAGAAATTCTGATTCCACATAAAAAAGAGGTAAAGGGCATGGGAAATTGTTATTGTTGATTCAAATTACGAGTGATTAATGAGGTTTGATTACGATTGAGATCTTTTGCTATTAGAATATGAGAAGGGCGTTTTTAGGAACCTTATTTTTTTAAAAAATAGATTTTATATTTTTTTTACTTTAAAATAAGTATTATTATATAAAGTCATTTTCAATAGATAATAATTTTAAATAAAATTATCATGGGTGGTAATAATTAAAAAATATTTTTAAAAATAATTATCACTGATATTAATATCATATGAAAACAATGATAAAAGTAAATAAAAATGATTAAATTTATGATTTGATTATAAAATCTTAAATGATTTTGATAGAGTCGTTGGTGATTATTTTTTATTTTATTAAAATCGTAAATAGTTATTAATGACTTTGATAATTTAAGAAACATCATTTGATTATAAAGCAAACAACGATTTTGTCTAAAGTTAATATGAGACGTTGATGATTTTAACGTTATTATAATTTTGACTTAACTTCTTAAATATTTTTTAATTGAATAGAAAAATTTCAGTTTTTATTTTATTTTCTAATTATTTTAAAAAATAATTAAAAAAATTGAAAAGAAAAAATGTAGATTAGATTTGTTTAGCAATAAAGTAATAATAATAACTAATAGGATCTTGGCAAATAAATGTTTTCATATTAATAAAAAAATTCAATAATAATACGAGTGAGCAAGAAAAATAACAATTATATTCTTAATCAACGAGCTCTTGTTGTAATTTAAATCAAGTACTGTAAAACGGTACATCACAGTTACCTATGGTACACATATACTTGTCATGAATCATGATCAATTGTGGCATCATATATTATAAATTGAAATTTGTAGGAAAAATTCTGTTTAAAAGGGTTTGTTTTTACAATATCTTGGCCGTTTGACTAAACCTAGGAAGTTGATGTGCTAGATTCTTGATGATTAATATATATATACATCCCAAAAGATAAAATGATTTTAACTTGAGTATACGAGAGAAATATAATGCAAGTGGGTTGACCTAAGTGCTATAAGGAATTAAGTCCATTCCTCCCAAAAGTGAGACTCATGATGCCATGTGATGTGGGGAACACAAGTGTATGTGCTCACATTCATGTCTTCTTCATTACATGGTGTAAAAAGAGAGCATAAGATCCAGCCCTTTATGAACACAAGTATGCATTTGGGTTACAAATAAAAACTTAAAAAAATGTGTATAATGTCTTAATAAAATACTAATACTTAAGGTATTAAAACCCAATGAACTATTGAATTTAAAAAAATGTGTTGGGTGTGAATGAAAGAAAAGGAAAGTCTTTCATTTATGTTCCTTTTTACAAGAATGTCAATACTGGAAACTTGAAAGTAAAGTTTCCAGCCTTTATGTTGGTGAAGTGTATAATAAATGAGAAGTAAAGTGATATTTAACCAAAAGGGTTGGAGAAAAGCATAACATAATGCAAAAATGGAGATGAAAGCAAAAAAGAATTCACCAATATACTCTACTGGATAAAAGGAACATTGGAGTTTAGTAGAGCCCACAAGGGAGAAACCCAAAAGGAAAAACAATAAACAATGAATCTGAACCATGTGATGAACATAAGTCAAATGGGTATATACGAGAAAGAGGAAGAAAGATCGAACGGTTGAAAGTAAGCAAAATCATAACTAAGACTGGACCCCAACGTTGATGGGTAAGTGGTTGGGTTGTAGTATAATGGTGAAAAAGTGTGGGGACTATGGATCTAAAAGGAGTGAAGTGTGGGAAAGAATAAGAGAAAAGTTGAGATTTTTTACCAAGGATTTTTCTCTCCCTTGTTAATGGCTTTTGTTTGTGACCAAAATGATGAGCCATGTGTAATCCAAACAAAAGTTACCTAAGAAAACCACATTATTTCATCTGTTTAAATTGGACCCCTTATAATCTTTTGTAGCTTAAACTTTTATGTTAATTTTTTATGCATTTGGGCATAGTATTTATAGCAATAATGGATTGTTCGAAAGTGGTAGCGACGCCTTTAAATGTTTTAAAGATTGGGGCTAATAGGGACAACCATAAAAGACAGGATTACAGGCAAGACAGCATATCGACCTAAGCTATGGTTTCATTACATGCCTTGATAAAAGTTTAGATTGTTTAAAGGATCGCAGTTTGTGAATCTTCAGCGAGTCAGGGTACAGTCTGCCAGGTAGGCTCAGCATTGAGCGCCAGAACGTGGCCAAATATAATGAGAAGTCCCATCTCCTACGGGAAACCAAAATATACAAAAGGAAACAATATTCTCACCGCACCCATACGTTTGGATTTTGAAAAGCATAATTTAGCAACAACAACAAAAATAAACGTAAAAATGCAAATTCTCACAAAGGGTAATGGGGGGATTTTACTGAACTTGTTTGACTTTTTGCGATATGTGGAATATATTGAGGAATAACACAGACAAGGAGTAAGATGGGTTCCACCTGCATACTCTGTTCTCTCTTTTAAATTTTTTTTAATGGTTCCAAATTTTTTTTTAAAGGAATTGACGTTTTCCCCCAAGATTATCTCTTTTATCCACAGGCTATTCTTCATTGAATCAGATAGTGTATCACCGAATAATGAAACATAACCAGGAGTCGCTTTCCTGGCTTTGGCTATATTCGTCCAATTCCTCCGGGGAGTAAAATCCAAAATTCCGAATAGCGGGTGATATTGAAAAGGCCAAACCGTCATTAATAACGACCGTTCATCGCTTCAAAAAGTAGCAATGAAACTTCATAGAATCAAGACAGCCACGTAGTTTTATCATCCGTACTCGTAAAATCAAATATCTTTTTACGTATACGACATAAGAATGATTAAGGATCGACACTAACTGAAATTTTGTTTGGTTTTCTTTAATTTAATTTAATTTTATTTAAAAAAAAGTATTATTTTCATATTTTACCAGATCAGGGATGTTTTTGGGCCTTTGTTTTAATTTAGATTTGTAATATAACTGTCTACTTGGGGTTTTTATGCTTTATTTTCGTTATTGATGTTCACAATAAAATTTTATTTATTATTCATCGCATATGAAAAATTTATATTATTAATATATATATATATATGTTCACTTTACAAAATATTTATAGATTCACTAAATTAAATGTCACCTCTAATTCGATAATTCACGTATGTAAAAAGCCATTCTAATTAGACACAACTTTCAAAAGTATTGTTAATTAAACACGTCTTCATCTATTTAACTGTCTGAATTTTAAAAAACTGAATGTCAATATTGTAATTTTCTTTTAGATGTCATAACGTAAAATAATTTAAAAAATCATATTATTTGAGTAGAATGGGCTTCACTTATTTTATCGCAAGCAGTGACGTAAAATTGCACATACTCCTATAACTATGCCTACTACTACAAAGCTTCGCAACAACAACGACAGAGAGGCAACCAGTACATTTGAAAGTTTCTATTGCTTCCTTCCAAGCTGTTTCCTTGTTTTCTCATTGTCTCGTGTCGTGGGTTGTTAGGATTTTTAATTGCTCACCAACTATTAATAATATTTTAATGCTTTTCTCACCCGATTTAGGTCAATTCATTGAATCATCATCGATTCCAACAAGATTAAATCCAATTAATAATTTATTCACGATATTAAAATCATAAAGGATGGAAATATTTTTCTACACTTTAACTTTTGTCCCTGCCAAGTCTTGTCTATAACTAGAGAGAGGTAGTAAAATTTACAACCACAATGGTGCATTTCAGATTCACCCGAAAACCTAGGAAACTTTAGTTTGTAATATATAACTAACCAATGTATTTTACCCCACACTTTGTGCACAATATGGATCGATCAAATTTTCGCTATATTCGAAAAGCCTTTTAGTTTTAGTGGGAGTAGGTTGGGGCATTGATAATATATAAAAAATAAAACCCGTTTTGTTATTGTACCCTGTTGGCATATATGTGATCGGATCTTTTAATTATAGGGTGCATGCATATGGCCGAGGCCCGAGGGATGTTTTGCATTTGCATTGTTGTCTTGTAGCATGATTTTGGGTCGTCATTTAGCAAAGCTGGCCAAAAGTAGCAAGGATTATGGAGGGTTTTGACATCGTGTTTCCACATTCCACGTGGTGGGTTCACGCTCGACAAATTATCATGCGACTCGTACATTAATTTCCTGTTTTTTGAATAAAGTTTGAGAATGATCCATACCTGACTCCTTTTTTTGCTTGTATTCTATGGTGGATGGAAGAATATTTTTTTGAGTGGAAGATATGGGGGGAAAAGAGGCATTCCATTATGGAAGTTGGAATACGGATTATTATTGAAAGGGGATGCTAATAAGGCACCACAAAACAAGACTGAGGTCAGAGGTTCACTTCCTCCCCATATCACAGGTTTAATACAAAAGACTCCACGAACACGAGCAAAACTGCACTACACACTTTGCTTTGCTATCTTTAAACATCTGATTCTTTATGAATTGGAATTTAGTT